GGGGGGATTTCCAAGCGCCGGCGGCTCGCCGCTTCCTCTCCTTGTTTTGCTTTCGATCTGGACCTTTCGCAGCCGAGGCGGAGGGAGTAACTTTTAGTTTTGCTCCCGCGATTATTCAGCGCCTGTTTTCATTTCCATTTCGCGTCCCCTGGCAACGGCGGTAACCTTGAGGAATTATATAAGTGCCGCGAAGACGCGCTGGAAAGGTAAAAAGCGCCGATAGCGTTATTTATTTATTTTTCGTCGTATTTGTTTTTTTTGTTTGTTTTGTTTTGTTTCTCCCCTGAGATCGCCGCGGCGAGGTGCGGCTGAGGTGTGCGCGTCCCGCCGGTGCTGCGGGCAGAGCCCGGGCCCGCGAGCGGAGCGCAGCGACACGGAGGCCGCCGAGCTGCCGGTGCGCGGGCGCGTCTCGCTGCGGGGACAAAGGAGCGGGCACGGGAGCACCGAGCGCGGCCCCGTCGCCGGAGGAGGCCGCGGGCCCGGGCGGGGCGCTCGGCGCCTTGCGGGCCGCGCTCGGATCCCCGCGGCCGCGCGGCGCCCTCGGCCCAACACTTGTTGCCGCGAACGGCGGCGTGGGCGCGGCCCGGCCGGTGCGGGCCGAGGGGCTGCGGGAAGGCCCGCGGCGGGGGGCGCTGCCCGGCCCCTCCCGGCCGGTACACAAGCGTCGGCCGCGCCTCCCCCCCCCACGCTCCGCCGCGGGGACGGCCCGCGGGGGGCCGGGCACCCGTCACGGCGGCCTCCACTCGGGCTGAGCCGCCGTCTGCTCCCCGGGATCTCCGGGCGGGCGGGCGGCGGGGTCAGGCGTGTGCCGCCTCGCTGCCGCCGGGCCCGAGCGGAGCTCACGGGCTCGGCTGGGGTCGCCGAGGCTGTGGTCCGGGCCGAGAGGCTGCGGGACCCGGGGCCGTTCCCCGGTGATCAGATGGCCTGTAAATATCCAGCGAGGAAACGGGGCTGCGGGAAGCGGGTGCTCGTCCTTTTAGTACGTGGTTGGAATGAGCTGCGGGCCGGTATCGGCAGCACCTAACGGCGCTCCCCGTCCGATCCGATGGGAATAGCGGCCTTTTGTTTATACGAGGCTCCGTCGCTTTGCACCCGCTCGGCTCTTGTGCCCTGCTGGGAGGACGGCAGCGAGCGAAGGGCCGAGAGCCGGACATCTTCCCCGAAGAAAAAAGTTAGGAGCCGGAGTTTTGTTTGCGTGCAGTGAGGAGGGCCGGATTGCGGTGCCGTGTGAACGTCCGGGATCCGGGCTGCGGGGCTGAAGGACTGCCTCTCCCAGCCCCGTCCCAGCGGCGTTCGGCTCCGCAACTCCCACTGAGGAAGCACCGAACGCGGCAGTGCGTTTCAGGCTGCGGTGTTTATACACTGAGCTCCCGTAAAGGGATTGTATCGATTTCATTTTCAGCACTCAGAACGTTGCTCCTAGATGCTATACAACTGTCATACTGCGCTCAGGTCTTCTGGACAGCGATCTCTGAAACGCAGGAACTCTTGTAAAGCAAAACCTCTGTTTGAGATGAAATATTTAACGTTTAAAATCACAGTTACTAAATCTTATTTAGATTTGCATGTAGTATCCTTTGATAGTACCAAAAAAAGAGAGTTGCAAGTAGCAACAAAATTTGAATTCACCCTGGTGCGGAAATGGTGACACAATTATAAAACTAGCATGAGTGGTCTGTGAGGCAGATGGTTTCTGTCTGAATCACAACCTTTCCGTGCCACTAGTCCCTTCTGAGGCTTCATTGTCCCATACTGGTAGCGTCTCTCAGAGGGACTGCTCCATGTGCCTCCAGCATGCTGTGGCTCCTTCTTGCTGACAAAACTCAGTGTGGTTAGCATGAGTGTGCAGTGGTGGTTAGCATGAGTGTGCAGTGAGCCCTTTGGCACAATATTGCTGCACTGAGACCTGTGCCATGTGTTTGGCTAGTTGCAAGCACAGCCAGGTAACCTTGTGGAGGGGAGCTGGGCATTGCATCTAGGAGACAGAGGTGTTCGGGGTCATGTTGATGCGTGTATCTTGGTGATATCTCTGTCAGAATATGGCAAGCCAGTCTCCTGGGAAAGGCTGCTAGTCAGAGACCATACTACATAGAAAGGGGTAGCAGGGAGGTTTGAGAAGTAAAATAATGCTGTTAGATAGGGGGCTAAGGACCCAAATCTCCACTTTACCGAGGCCTACAATTGTGCGTGGTGTCAGAAAAGCAGACGTAATGCGTTAGAGAGAATGATGCAGAGAAAGGCTGCTAAGATTCAAGAGGAACTGGAAATATATTTGGAATAGGAGGAGTCTGCATTAGAAAAATGGATTTATCTAAATAAATCCCTTGTGCCTTAAGCTGAAGTATACATTTATGTATGTGTAATATGCGTGTATAAAAATAAAAATTCTAAACCAAAACTGTGGGGAAAGCCTGTAGGTGAAGAATGACAGGCTGTAGGTGAAGAATGCAAAGTTTGCCATGAGATAACCTCTCACTGGAGGGGGCCATCCTTGTAGCATTAAAACTGCTGTTAATACATCTCCATGATACAGTACTTGGAGTATCAGAAACGGTGGAAGCTCAGATACTGTAGTAACAAAGACTGCAGCTGGCCTAGGGAGCATGGGGTAGTTTCTATGTGCATGAAGTGGGTGCTGGTTGTTAAGGACCGCCTGTGACAGGAAGTTGCACAGGATCTTGTGAATTGGTGCTCCAGGCCTAAATAGGAAGAGGATAGATTAAGGCCGCGTGGTTCAAGGTGTTGACTGGCTGTCATGCTTTGAGGTGGAGCAGAGAACCGTTGTTGCAGGAGCAGTAAAGCCAGGGGCTACTGTGGTGGTGTTAATTCTCCATGGTAAATCTTCATGAAAGAAGGAAAAATTTCATGAGTACAAGGGCGAGAGGCAGTCAAAAGTGTAAAATGCTTGCAGGTGGCATGTAATTCTTCAAAGGAAGTGTAACAAAGGCTCAAAGCAGTTGCATGGCATCTGCCAGAAATACAGAAAGAGCTGAAGAAGCTGGAAAGCAGAAATAAAAAGACATCTTTCAGCAAGTTAAAGTCTTGTGCTCAGTGAGAAGGATGGAAAAGAATGTAAAATCTGTGTTAAACATAATAAGGTAGGCCAAACAGAGTCATGGAACAATTTGCTAGAAGCATGAAAACAAACAGTAAATCCTCTTTGAAGTGCATCAAAAGCAGGAAGCGTGCTGATAAATGATCCATGTGCAGAAGGAGTGCTCGAGGAAGATAAAGTTGCAACAGAAGACTGAAACAAGGTCTTTGAGTCATGTGCACTAGGAAGAGTTTTGGGAGATTCTTTTGTTGGAGGCTTTTTACTTTTTTTAAGGAGTAAGCGTGTTTGGGGTTTGCTCGCAAGTAATGTGACTGTATAAGGAGGTATCAGAACAAATTGCTGGAAATGAAGGATGAGGTGGAGGAGGTGATACTTAAAATGTGAAATTGCTACTGCATTCCCCAATGTGTGTCACTTGTTGCTTAGAGCTGGCCTTGGTGTTCCAGGAATAGAAGGTGACAAATTTCTTGTCAGTTGTTCAAGTTTTCTGCGGAGACGGGGAACTGTAGGGCATTTGGTTCTGAGTTTGTTTGCCAGTACTTAGTGAATGGGATTAGTGAACGGGAGGTATAAATGTGATATCTTGACAAAGAATAGGCCTGGCTTTTGTTGAGGAGACCTTGTGCGTCACCAGTTGTGGGGTTTGTAAAGGTGTTGTTGAGCTGTTGTTGCGGTCTCCTTGATACTGCCCTTCCCCGAGCAGGGCTGGGCTCAGCATGGGATCAGGTTGCTCTGGGCATGGCCATGGCCAGCCCTGCTGGATGGAAGGAGGGTGCTGGTTGTCCCTGCCGATCAGCGGGTGCAGGAGGGGCTGGGTGGTGGTGCAGCAAGTTTGCTCGTTGGATTCACCCGTTCCTCCCTGTAGTCAAACTCCAAAGGCCGAACTGCAAAGCCTGCAGAAGGATCTTGTTATGTTGAAAGCCCAGCTGTAAGGCTGCAAATAAAATTCAGTACATACCAATGAAATGTAATGCATATGGAAGGCAGTGTAATCTTAACTTTATACACAAAAGGAAAGCTTGAACTGACTGTTTTTACTAGGGAAAAGATCATAGGATGTAGGTAATCCTATGAAAAAATAAGCTCTGTGTCCTGCAGTGGCTCAGGAAGCAGAAGGCAGGTTTAGAATTATTAGGAAGGAGTAAAACATGGAAAAGTAAGCATCATCATGCTACCATAAACCCCTATTGCTCCCCTCTCCTGAGCAGCATTAACAATTTCTGTTTCCCCATCTCAGAAAGGGTGCAGTGAAACCAGCAGAGCTGCAGAGAAAGGCATTGAGGACAATCAGGTGGATAGAACAGCTTTTGTGAAAGTCTGGGCGCCTCGCCTTGACCAGGGGATGGCTGAGGAGGATATGGGAATGTTCCCTGAAATCATCAGTGTAATGAGAAGAATGAACAGGCAGCGGGGAGCAGGTAAGCGCAGCCCACAGGAAACAATTGAGAGGCACTCAGTACAGGAGGAGGTGTTTGTGGGGCAGCCCATAAATGCGGTGCTCCCTGCCCCAGCGTGCTGTGGGTGCCAGGAGTTTAAGCGGGTTCACAAGCGATGAGGCAGCCTGTGGGAGAGAAACTTGCCGTGCAGCTTAGTCAAACTTGGAGCACTGAATATCCACAACCTACAGCAGGTACCGATCAAGAATTCTTTCTGAGAACTAACTGCAGGTAGAGATTTTCTCCATGAGGATAAGCATAAGCCTAAGAAGTGATCCGTTTGTAGGTTACCTAGAGAAGTGAGACTGTGCACTGACCTCTGCAGCATGAATCTTGTGCCTTAGCTTTTTGGGGAACTTCGGAAAAAAGAACATACGTTTCCAAGATGCCCCTGTTCAGCCTATGCTAGTTACACCTGGACTTGTTAACCGGACGCAGGCTAAATGCATCATGCATGCACCTAATGCTGCATAGGAGTGGTGTTCCAGCGAAATTCTTTGGGGGTTTCAAGGATTAGAATCTCCATTTGTGGACTTCCAGTGCAGGAATCTGTTTGTAGGTACAGAAGGAGAACTAATCACAACGTTACTTGTTTTGTGGAACTCTTACTTATCTCTGTGATTTGTTAAAGATTGACCTTTTAGAACTCAGTTCTTCAAAGGCCTTCAGTAATTGTTATATTGAGGATATAAGCCATAAGGTAGTGTTTACAGAA